GCAGGGGCAAAATGCCAACGCAGAGTAGCTGGCGGGCCGGGCTGGAAAATTGCATCTAGGGGTGGAGAGCGCAGGAGAATTCATCCTGAAGTTTGCAGCTCCCCCCCCGGCAGCGCTTAAAATCATGGTTCAGGCCAAGGGCAGGGGTGGGCAATCATGTTTGACGGGGAGGGGCACTGCAGAATTTTTTGAAGTGGCCCCAGGTGTCCTGGAAGGAAGGGGTGGGGCCAGGATTCTTCAGTGCTTCCCCAGCCTTTGTCCCCCTCTCCCCAGCTGTTGCGAACTGCTGGTGGTTCCCTCTAGGTGCCCATACCGCTGTCTGTGGGAGGAGACTTTGTGTGCTTCCCCACTCCCAGGCTCTGATTGTCCCGGGGATGGGAAACCCCTGAAATCTAGGTATAAGAATCAATGGACACAAATCTGATATTAGGAATGGCAACATACAAAAACCTGTAGGGGAACACTTCAATCTCCCTGACACACAATTGCAGGTCTAAAGGTAGCCATCCTGTAGCAAAAAAACTTCAGGACCAGACTTCAAAGAGAAACTGCTGAGCTATGGTTCATCTTCAAGTTTGACACAATCAACTCTGGATTAAACAAAGACTGTGAACGGCTCGCTAACTACAAAAGCAGCTTCTCCTCTCTTGGAATTCACACCTCCCCATCAGCTACTAGAAGTGGGCCTCATCCTCCCTGATTGGATCCACCTCGTCATCTCCAGCCTGATTCTGGCCTGCATATTTATACCTGCATCTGGAAATTTCCACTACGTGCATCTGACGAAGTGGATCTTTGCCCAGGAAAGCTTAGGCTCCAACACTTCAGTTAGTCTATAAGGTGCCACAGGACTCTTCGCTGCTTGTGAAATCTCCCGCTCCCGGTCCTCACCATGCTTAGAATCACCCACCAGGGTTGACTCTAGGCTCTGTGTGCTCCCTGGTCCCTAGGTCCTGATTGGTTTGGGGTTAGGGGAGAGGCAGGGCCTCCACAGGCCACATCAACCCTAAGCAGCAGTTCTGCAGAAAAGGATCTCGGGATTACAGTGGCTGAGAAGCTGTATATGAGTCAACAGTGTGCCCTTGTAGCCAAGTGCGCTAATGGCATTTTAGGTGCATTAGAAGGAGCACTGCCAGCAAATCCAGAGAAGTGATTATTCCCCTTTATTTGGCTCTGGCGAGGCCACATTTGGAGTATTGTGTCCAATTCTGGGCTCCCCCCACTATAGAAAATATGTGGACACGTTGGAGAGGGTCCAGCGGAGGGTGACCAAAATGATAAGGGGGCTGGAGCGCATCACCTATGAGGAGAGACTGAGGGTGTGTCTAGACTACATGCCTCCTTCGACGGAGGCATGTAGATTAGCCAGATCGGAAGGGGGAAATGAAGCCGCGATTAAAATAATCGCGGCTTCATTTAAATTTAAATGGCTGCCCCGATCTGCCGATCAGCTGTTTGTCGGCAGATCGGG